CAGAAACTTACAATTTTTAGTCTCCCGGCTGCCAAAAGCTGCTGCCTTTCCTGACAAAGTTGTTTTTGATGTGTTCATGCTAGCAGTACAACCAAACAATCTCAGCTTGGCAACACTGGGATTTATCGTTTGGAACAGATACTGCTCTGGCAGTTTTCGAGAGTCAAACGAAATTATGAACTCTGCTACTCAGATGCAGGTGCCCATGTTTTCCCCCATTGAGAGTTGCTTTTATTATTATTTTTTATTATCTCCTTTTTTAAGATCTTTAACCTGCTACATCTCAAGGGCTCAAATAAATAGCAGTAATTTACAAGGGCGGGGCAACAAACTAATTAACTATTGAATACAATGCCAAGTGAAGCATTACAACTGCCTTACTATATATTTTATTATTATGCACGGTGACAAATTTGTACAGATTTTGGGTTAGAAATTGCTTGGGATGATATATAATCCCTAATGGATCTGAGGAGGGTGGTTTCTGATGTTTTGAACCATACAGTTCTCAGACCATTAAAAATAATCATATCCTGCAAAGGTTCTAGTTAAAGACAGCTATAGACAAGGTGAAGCAGCCATCTCCCCAGATTATGGGTGCTGTTAATGATTCCAAAGATAGTCCCTTTTAACAAGTTGTGAATAAAGCTTACTTTCATGGAGGAGTTCCGAGGTGGTAGCGTGCATTGACGCTGAAGAAAGCAGTTGCTGTAGGGTGCTCCAATTTTGGAGAGGAGATGTTGCACCTTAGCAGTAAATCTCATGCTTTGCATGTTTAAGATCCTAGTTTTGATACGATGCATCTTCAGGTAGATCTGAGAAAGATCTGTGTTTGAAACCTGTATCTGTTGCTTGCTTGGATGCCGGTTGTGTGTACGTAGAAATCTGTGGGTTTTTATATGGCTGGAATGTACAAGTGTGAGAGTAGTATCTGTTGCTTTGCTCACTTTCTGCCTCTGGCATGTGGCCTCCAGGAGCCCGCAATGCATTGTAGCCCTTAAACTGAAAAAAGATCCCCACCTCTGCTTTCAAGAAGAAGAAAAGATTGAAAAACATCAAGTCTCTAGTGTGCAGAATGCAGGATGATTTGCACCATATCACCCGCAACCATATCACCCGCAATCCCCATGCCATCTCCAGTTTGCATTGAGAAGGGCAGTTGGTCGAAGAACCATTTATGCAGTTGTGACTGTCATTCGGGTCTATAGGGCTATCACACTGGAAATTCTGCCTGAATTGTCTCCTGGGTAAATTCATTTTACCTTGCTCCCTTTGGTTCTGCATATCCAGGGGCACTTATTGGTAGCAGGATTAATCACAGAAGTTTGTTTCCCCTCTCCAGTTTTCCCAAGTCATCTTCATTCTTTCTCATGGCTTTTGTGTAAATATTTCACGGTCAAAATACATGTAAATATTTCTCTGTTGGGAAATGCAATACATTTCCGCATAAGTGTCATTCTCCTTTTCTGTTCTGATCATTTAGAACATGAAAGAGAAACTTGTTTTATTCCGACTTCGCTCTCTCGACACTGTGACAATGTGCTCTTATTTATTGCTAAAACAAAGCTGTAGGGAACGTATATTTGGAAACCATTGAGTTACTATTATCCCAGCAAAGCTTTTCAGAGATGGCTCACTTGTTGACTGTTTTTGGTTTTTATGTTTAAGTAAATAAATAACCTTTCCACTTCTTCCAGAGAACAGGAGTGAGTGAGAGAAAGATTAATATCTTCCTCATCCCCTTAGCTAACAATTTCCTTAAAGCAGATAAATTACAGCACCACCACCCCTCCTTTTTTTAAAAGCTGGAGTTTTAATTTAGTGTTTCCTTTCATCCACTGAAATACTTTTTCTTTTCTTTTGAGCCTCCTATAGTTTGTTCTGGTCATTAACATTTCAGTAAAAAAAAAAATAAGTTTGAAAGGTGCTTTTTATGTTTGGGTAGACTGTGGTGCACATTTGGCTGTTAAAACCCAACCTCCTTAAGTCTGTATTGATGCTGAATACTCACAGCTATTTGCAGCAGTTCACTGCCCAGTTTAATGGTGCCGCCAAGGGCAATGATCACATTACTTGCTATTATATTTGGGGTAGGTGGGTGCTACTTTGGCAATAAAGGCATATTTCTTGAATCGCACACCAAAGAGCTCCAGGGTTAGCAGCATATGTCTATTAACAACCCATGCAAGAATTTATTGCGGCAGGAAGATAGGACCTTCTTCAATCTTAGCCTCATTTGTTTCTTGGAGTCTCAAGTTCTGTCTTTAGAATACTTGCCTCTAAAGTTAGCAAGCTTATGTGGATTGTTTAACATGTTCTCTAGAAACATTCTTTTCATAGATAAAAAAACTCAGGAAGGGGCTGCTTAGCTCTTACACCTCCCGTTATTTATCTGCTCAAAATGGCAGTGTGCCCTGCTAAAAATTTGCTCGTTTTTTCTTCTTCTTTTGACAATTATCCATCAATTTATGAGAAAATAAATTACACTGAAAATAATCAAAGGGGAGAGAGTGTTTCAGTGAGATTCTCATGAGTCAGGGTGCCAGGGTGATGGTTGTGTGCTTGCTTTTGAAGTAGCCAAGGGGTGCTTTTGAGTGTCCTCAACATGAAGGTGGTGGGGAAATCTGGATCATTTTGGCTATGTGTTCACTTATTGGCTGGATCTGGTAAGCCATCCAGAAGAACGCCAAAGCAGCTGCCTAGGGGCAGTAAAACCAGTGCAAAAAAAAAAGAAGAAGACATTTCAGATAATTTGTTGGTGCTCCCTTCCAAACCCGCTTTCATAGCGAAAATGTTTCAACTCAGCCCCAGCACCAAATGCTTCTCACCAGCACTTCAGAGAGATCACTGTAATGTTGGCGACAAATGTGCCATCTCAAGTATTTAGGATCACAGGAACATCTATACATGGATTTGATAGATACAAATGAAGATGGATGCTGCCCGTGACAAGCAGCCACCAAACATCTCCCTAACAAGGGGTGATTACAGAAAGGAGGAATGTTTGGGAAGGGAAGGGAAGCCACAGTTCCCATATTGTTTTGCTGGTATCCAAATATTAATGAACTATTAGGGCAACTTCCTCACCCCCTTTTTTTCTTCCTTCTTTATCTGCAAGTTCATAGAAGCAGCATAACCACCTGCTTCCACCACTTACTGTGTTCTCTTTAGAGACTGGTAAAAGAGTTATTTTCAGTTTCTCTCAGTTTTCTTATTTTCTAGTCCTCCAGTTCAGTTCTCCACATTTCCAGATCAGTCCTTATGAAAATTCATCAACATTTTGGTGTGAATTTTCTCCTAATATAATATTTTCTTATGCAGTTTTGCAAAGCAATTTTCCGCACTATATTGCATTTCTGTTTGCCATTTTCACCAAATGTTCCGTATGATATTTTCACCCAAAAACGTGCATTTTTATTCACACTTTACCTCAGGGTGTGCATTTTTGTACACATGGCTTAGGAAGCTACATCGCAAATTTGTCTCAGAAAGTATGGACTAAGGAGGTAAACCTTTCCCACATACTTTCTCACTTGTTCTGCTTCACCTTTTATTATTGCTGCTATTACTAATACTTGATGCTTTATCATTTTGATTTACTCTCATGAAGGCACATAATAAGACTGAATCAGTGTCCCCCTTTCTATTTTATTCTTTCTAGGAGGGAGGGAGTTCAAGCCCAACTTTCCCTATGGCCTGCAATCCTCTGTTTTGTTTAGCATTCTGCTTCTTTCTGCTTCTTTGTTGAGGGGGGGGGGGGATAAGCTTTGCTTTTATGTTTTTGTCCGCTTCTTAATTGTTTGATTGGGGGGGTGGATTATTTGTTTGTACTTTGGTTAAGCCTCTTTGAGTACATTTCTTACAAAAATACTCAATGAATGGCGATGATAATAAATAATTGAGCCACTGTACGAGGCAGTCATCATTCCGACAAAGAAAGCAAAATCAGCCATGGTGATCTTAAAATATTTGTGCTGTAAGGAGAATTAAAAAGTGGATCATATCAGGACAAAGCTGGCAGAAACTCTGCAAGACATGAAAAATAAATTTTCTCCATTCCAAATGACATTGTTTGAAAAGGAGTGTGTTGTCCTGAACTTTGAATAAGAAGGAATGGCTTGTCACTAATGAACTCTGACAATTGTTGCAACATCATCTTGTACAAAACAAAACTAGAGCAAGCAAACCCTAATAGGATATTTTTAAAATTGAAAACAGCTTTTGTAGGCTGCAGTTGTGAGTTACAAAAAATCAAGGGAGAGTGCTTAACCCTTGTGGCGTTCTCATCTGAGTCTCCCCATGTGTTGCTATTTTTCTGTATGTTTCCAGATATGTTTACCCTCACTAACAAGCATCTTTTACCCTGCAGAGGGGAAAGGAGCCCAGGGGTGGAGCCCAGAATAGCAGTTGCAGGGAGGTTGCCCTGCTAGGATCATTCATCCCCCAGAAAGCCCCCACCTACCTGCCTTCTTACTCATAGCCAGTCCAGAGGGCGGCCCTGGTGTCAGCTTCCTCCTCCTGAGTCTCGATGTTGCCCTCACAGAACTCAGCGGGTGGGAGGGTGGAAACAAAACTGGAATTACTTGGCTCTGACTGAACATACTGTTGGCCTCTCTGCTGTCCACCCTAACCACCGTTGGCCTCTCTGCTGGCCACCAGCCGCTGCTATTGCCCTGCCCTCCTATGTGCTGAAGAGAGGACAGTTGATCTGTAGGTGCTGACACCTAGTGATCCACATCACCAGGGCACAGTGGGGAACTGCACATCTTCACGCCATGAGTGGAAAAGCAGACTGACAGTCCTAGGCACCTAGAAGGGAATAGCCCAGGGAGGAGGGGAGACACCAGACAGGGAAGGAAGACGTAAGAGAAAAAGAGAAAGTAGGAGGAGAAAGATGAAATTATAGACATGGAAGGAGAAGTGGGGTTTCGAGAGGACATGTGCAAGAGGAAGGGGCTATGTGTACCCAACCTACCTGGCAATAGGACTTAAAGGGAAGGGCTGTAGCTCAGTGGTTAGAGTAGCAGCCTTTCTTGCAGGAGGTCCCAGGTTCGATCCCCAGCATCTCCAGGCAGGGCTGGGATTGCCCCTTTCTGCAACCCTGTAGAACTGCTACCAGTCCGTAGAAACAGCACTGGACTAGATAGACCAGTGGTCTTACTTTGCATAAGGAGTCTGAAGACCAGCAGGGCTCCTGCTTATGAGGGAACAAAGAAGAGTATCTTTGTCCATTTGCTTGCTTGTTTTGCATTTTCCTTTGGTTTGTTTATTAATTGCAAATGTTCACATCCCACTCTTCAGCCCACAGGCTTTCAGAGAAGCTTACTGTTTAAAAGCATTTAAGCATTTAAAAGCATAGATGGCATCAATAATAATTTAAACTACAGCAACAGAAGTAGATTCTTCAAGAGAGAACAACCGAAGCTCAAGCAGTCTGTTGTCAAAAAGACATCAGAGTTGAAACACTTCGGTCCCTCCTGGTGCAGCAGCTGGGAAGAGATATGAGGCCTGTAGCCAAGATTGAAAGCCAGTAATCTACACGCCTACCTGAAGCTAATTTAACCATTATAATGGGGAGGGTCAGGGGTGGGATACCTGTGGCCGTCTAGATATTGTTGGAACACAACTCCCATCAATATCTAGTCCAGCAATATCTAGAAGGTTACAAGTTCTCCATCCATAGCTTAATGCTTTGCAGATTAATCTCTGTGGCATATCCACTTCCAAGATCAGGTAGCTGGTGAAGAGAAAGTAATCAGCCAGAGATATTCCGCCATTCAGAGTAGACAACGCTGGACTTGGCAAACCAGTAGTTCCTATAAGGCAGCTCATACAGCCGTGCGATTGGATCTTTGCCTTCCTGTTGGAGACGCATAGATACTTGCAACCACCCCTACACCCGCAAAGACCAATCAATGTGATTATCCACAAGACTGAATCAGTCAGATATACCGTATGATATGTTCCACTTTACTTGGACTAACTATAAAGCATGCTAGAGCCTGGGCAGAACCTTGCATGCCCTACTGTATTTTTCGCCCTATAGGACGCACCGGCCCATAGGATGCACCTAGTTTTTTGGGGGGGAATAAAGGGGAAAAAAATTATCCCCCCCCCCAGCCGCAACTTCAGCGCGCCCTGCGCTCCGGGCAGCAGGCTGCTATCCGCAGCCTAGGCAGCCCTGCAGGAACTCCCGCGGGCTCCCCAGGCTTGCTGATAGCTTCCTGAAGCCTGGAGAGCAAGAGGGGTCGGTGCACACCGACCCCTCTCGCTCTCCAAGCTTCAGCGAAAGCCTGCATTCGCCCTATAGGACGCACACAGATTTCCCCTTCATTTTTGGAGGGGAAAAAGTGCATCCTATAGGGTGAAAAATACGGTAATTTTCAACACAGGCACACTTTGCAGCACCAGTTACCCAGGGCCACTTCCAGGTTGAGGGGGATTGGGGCAAAGTGCCCTCTCAGGACCAGAGTACCCGTAGGGTCTTCTATTTATGTTTTAGCTGAGATGACCCTTGGGGTCCCTTCCAACTCTAAGATTCTATAATTTTATCTTCCCCTTTTTTGACCAACATAGTACCTATGGGACTGCCTCTCCTGGTATGCCCCACGGAGGACCTTACGGTCTGCAAATAATAATATCTTGGAGGTCCCGAGCCTCAAGGAGGTTAGACTGACCTCAACCAGGGCCAAGGCCTTTTCAGCCATGGCCCTGGCCTGGTGGAACGCTCTGTCACAAGAGACCAGGGCCCTGCAGGATTTGACATCTTTTCACAGGGCCTGCAAGACAGAGCTGTTCCTCCAGGCCTTTGGTCGGGGTTCAGTCTGACTCCCTCTCCCCTTTCATTAGAATTTGCATGAAAGTGGCCTCCCAATTTTTCTCACAGGCTCATATAAGTTCAGCACAAACAGTTGGGCCTGGTGAGCTTTTAAGGTCCCCAACCCTAATCTGCAGGTTGCCATCTGATTGGATTTTATTCTGATCCTAATCTGATTTTAGGATGTCTTTTAATTGACTGCCTGATTTTATGTTAATGTGTTATACATTTGATGTTAGCTGCTTTGAGCACAGTTTTGGCTGGGGAGGGCGGGGTATAAAAATTATTATTATTATTATTATTATTATTATTACTATTATTATTATTACTGTCATCTGTCAAGGTGGGTCATGGCCCATGGAGACACAGCTGATGTCCACTAAGGGCACAATGTCTTTTCTGTGATGGCCCCCTTAATATGGAATCATCTTGCTCCTGAATTTTGGCAGGCACCATTTTTTACTGTATTTCAGTGCCTCTTTAAGACATACTTTTGTGGTCTTTCCAGGTCAGTTATTCAAGTTTTAAGTTTTTTTCCCCCCTGAGCCTGAAGGCCAATTTCAGGAGCAATATGCTGTTGGTAGGTGGGGCCAGAGGCAATAGTGGAAGGGGCAATTGATGTAATTTTTGCCTTTGTTTGGTAGACTTGTTTTCTACACACACTCGCACCCTTCTCTGCCCCCCATCCAGGCAAGCAAGAATCTGTATTGAGAGTCCAATGACACGTTTTAGCCAGGCAACACCACCCAGGGACAGGGCAGAGTAGGACTGGGGAGGGAAGCAGGCTTGGGAAGAGTCAGAGAGGTTACCTATGGCCTCTGGGCCTGATGTTCCCCACTCTGGAATAGCTTTGTTGATAGAGCATGAGACTCTTTAATCTCTGGTCATGAGTTTGAGACCCATCTTGAGCAAAAAGATTTCTAAATTGCAGGGGGCTGGAGTAGATAACCCTCGTGGACTCTTCTTCAATTCTATGAAATTTTGAAAAATTAAAATGGTAGCTCCTCATCCCAGGTGTGCTCTTTCAAAGGAGGAGGATGAGGACACAGGGCATCTCTCAGTGATGGGCCCTAGTGGGGCCTGCAAGATGCGGTGGTGGGTCTGCAGTTGCTTGAAAGAAGAAGAAAAACAACCCACTGTTTTACTGATCTGGCTGGCAGCCGTGTCCTACTACAAGTTACATTCATTAACGATGGCTTGCTAGCAGCTGTTGATGGGGCTGCAAGTGAGTATTCTTGCATGCTCTTTAACAGTTGAAACATTTTCTTTAGGTAATTTAAGGTTTTATATAGTTCATTACTTTATTTTTATTTTACTCCCAGACTCACTGTCCAATTTACATGGACTTAGGACCCCCTCCCCCTCCCCCTCCTGCCCTTTCAGGAATAGTAGAAGTAGCTTATTTCAGTCAAAAGCTATTACTGTAGGATATAAATCCAAACAGAATAGGCCGTAAAAGCAGGAACATGTTTTATTGTTTGAGAACAATTGAACCACAGAGGTTATACACTACTTCATTAATCTGAAAGACTGAATGGCTCCTTTTTTCTGCAGTCTTCACAAGAAATGGTGGGAGGAATTGGGGGTGGGGGATGGGGGACAGCTACTACTACTACAACAACTCTGTACAGGTGATGATCAAGACTGATAAACTTTCCAGTTCATTATGATTGCTTGTCTGTCTGAATGTTCGTTGGGACATTTGCTCGTTTCACCTTTGCAAACACAATTTTTAGCACTTTGCTAACAATGGTATAGAGCAGTGATGGGATTCACTAAAAAGCAATGAGGCTGGTTCACACGTGCAGCACAATGAGGTGGTAGAGGCTTGCTCTGGTAGGCTGGGCTGTAGCACTTCAGGAAGCCTGTGAGGACCCACATTTCCGAACGCTCCCTTGTATCAAATTTCCCTGCAAGTAGAAACATAGCCTAGTGAGTAGGCTTTGCTAGAATTCCCCACCCCAAGTTCTTACCTTTTTTAAAACTTGCTTTGGTAAGTAATGTAGGGAAGCATTCAAAACCAGAACACCCCCACCCGCAACATGTAGTGGTCACAGTTCTCTCTACCAGCTTAGGATTCTGCCATCTTGTTTTGCTGCCTATGCAGAGCTGGTTTGCAACCACTCCTGATCTTCACCTGCCACAGGGGCATTTTGGGTGGCTTTTAGGGTGTCCACTCAGTTCTAGGGTGTGCTCTCAGTTCATATTCAGCAATGCAAAGGCCAACAGGTATGGCTAACCACCCATGTGAGTTTATACCCTAGAGCAGAGCTTTCCAAACTTTTCATGTTGGTGACACACTTTTTAGACATGCACCATTTCATGACACAATAATTCAGTTTTCCTAGCACACCGGAGGTTAAACTAACCCTTTTCCAGCCTTAGGAGGAGCACCAGGCGGGGGGGGGGGGGGCAGGGCGGGGAGGTGGTGTTCGCACAACACACCTACACACTGCAGCCGACACACTAATATGTAACGATACGCAGTTTGGAAAGCATACATCCCCAGGTAAGAAAGCTGGCGACTTACAGACAAGTACGTCCCCAGAGGATTATGCACTGACCACCTTTAAATTAGATTTTATATCTCTCCCCCCCCCCACCCGTGATATTCTCAGCAGTGATTTTATTATCAAACAGGCATATGCCAGACACATCCCTAGCCTAATCTGCAAATTCTATGAAAGGTGGGCTAAGGAGTTTTGATTATTTGCAAGGTGGGAGTGGGACAGCGTCAGGCTTCTGTGTAGGGGCATATGGCTCAGAAGCAGGAGGACTGCACGTCCAGCATTTCCTAACCAAGCGCCTGTAGTTAGCAAAGTGCCCTGAAGCATCTCAGAGGTCCTTGTTTTGGTTCGGGGTGATTTGGAGAGAGCCTGCCTTAGCTTGGACAAACCCCACTTTGGTTCTTGATGGAGGATTTGTTCAAATCTAAGTTAATCATCTTCTCCTCGTTTTATCCTCGGAATAACCTCATGAGGTAGGATAGGCTGAAAAACAGTGACACAAGGTCGCCTAAAGACCTTTCATGGCTGTGAGGGAATTTGAACCCAGGCCTCCCCTTTAATATTCTCATAATATAACTACTCTACCACTGGCTCTTACATTTGAAGCCATTGCAAAATAACCTATGGAAGAATGACAGTTTTTCCTATCTTAATACTGAACAGATATTTGGTATTGTGGCGGGGGGGGGTTAAAATTAGCCCTATTGGTCAAATGCCCTTGGTTTGTGTTGAATTCTGCTATTAAC